TTCCCCCCACCTGTAAAATAGATGTGATAAGACCCTCAAAAAAAGAAAAGAAAGGCCCATCAACTTCAGAGGACTGTGGTGGGGCTTCAGTAAGTGACTATTTCTACAGCACTTGGGACCGTATCTGGCACATGGTGGGTGCCATGTGATGAGTGGCTGTTGTCATTTTATTACTACTCCAAGCCGTGGGAAAGCTTTCATCACCATCTTCACAATCAAAGCTGACCAATCTCCGCTCTGGAACCCCGAGTCTTCTAATTCTCCATCACCTCTGCCACTGCGTCCCAGCCCAGGCCTACCCCAGCCTCCCAGCTGGAGAAGGCAAGCTGTTCCGGGAAAGAAGATATGCCTATTGAGCGGGAAGCAGATTTACTGAAACAGGGTTTTCACCTGGAGAGGGAAGAACTCTCTTCCTTAGCTACTTGTGAGGGTGAGCTGGGAAGTACATTGACTTCGGAGCTGGGCATATCTGGTTTCAAGTTCAGCTGGTTAACCCTCTGAGTCCCAGCTCCCTTCTCTGTCAACAGGGTCCCTGACAGTCAGCTCAGAAGGTTGCATGTAGACAAGATGTGGGAACTGCCCACGAAGTGCACAGCGTGGGGCCTGGCACATAGGAGGAAGCTAGGGCTTCAGGGGTGGAAACACAACTTCTCTGTAGGGTGTCGGGCCAGAATAAACCAGTTTCAAGCTCTTGAAGAAACCAGTAAGAAAATCATTATTGTTATCCAGGGACACGCATGTATTCCCTGGGGAAGCTTCTGGGGAGGTGTAGCCAGGGTACACGCAACATATCACCCCAAGCCTCTCAGTAGACCCTGAGAGCTCAGGTCCTGAGTGGAGGGATGGGTACAGAGAGGCGCTAGTGCCGTAGCTGAAGAGGAGCTAAAACAAGTGAGGTGCTTGTAGGGAGCAACGGAGGGAGTGATAAAGGTCAGAAATAGCTCACCTTCGCCTTTGTGTTTAAAAAAGTAGTCGGTGCCCAGCTGTCAAAATATATAGAATCTGGGGTCCCATAGACTGGTAGATAAACAAGGAGCCATCTAACTGAGAAACAACAAAGCCCACATGGAAGAAGTACACCAGCCTGTGAGATCACAAGGTGTCGAAGGGATCAGGTATCGGGCATCAAAGACCAAATAAAATCACAGCATTGTGAATGAGGGGGAGTGTGGAGTGGGGACCCAGGGCCCATCTGTGGAAAATTGGACATCCCCTTGCAGAAAGGCTGCGGGGAGGAGACAGCCCAGGGTGCAGTGTAGCAATGATGAAATATACAAATTTCCTCTAGTTCTTGAATGGTTGCCCTCCTCCCCCCACTATCATGATCCCAATTCTACCTTACATATATGGCTGGACCAGAGGGTGTACACTGGCACAGAGAGGAACTGGAAATACAGGGAATCCAGGACAGATGATCCCCCCAGGACCAGTGGAGAGAGTGGCATTATTGGAAGGGTGGAGGGAAGGTGAGGGAGAGAGGGGGAACAGATTACAAGGTCTACATATAACCTCCTCCCTGGGGAATGGACAGCGGAGAACTGGGTGAGGCAGACATTGGATGGTGTAAGATATGACAAAATAATAATAATTTATAAATTATCAAGAGTTCAGGGGGGAGGGGGAAGCGAGGAAGGAGGGGGGGGAAATGAGGAGTTGATACCAAGGGCTCAAGTAGAAAGCAGGTGTTTTGAGAATGATGATGGCAACATATGTACAAATGTGCTTGACACAATTGATGTATGTATGGATTGTGATAGTGTTGTAAGAGCCCCTAATAAAATGATTTTTTTTAAAACTACCAAAAAAATAGTAGTAGTTGAAAATGAAAACAGCATTTTTGCTTTCCCCTATAAACACCAGCACGGTTGAGCAGCAGCATGGATTTGGAAAGTTTCTTTACCATCCATCCTCCAGTCAGTCCAACCATCCCGGGTCCCAAAGGGGGAGCGAATGCCCCAGGAGCCTGTCTGAAGTCCTGCCAACCCTGAGCCAACAGCAGGGTTGGACTGAGACCTGTGCTCCGGTCCTGACTTCAGGCTTTTCTTCCCTGCTTTCTGCCACCGGAAATGTCTGGAATCAGTATTTCACAGAGGTAAAATTGAGTCCCCTGAAGAGATTAATTCTGCTGAAGGGCACACCATCATGTGACTACACTCAAAGTGGTGCCTCCTCTGTTTTCTGGCTGCTGGGACACGTGCAGCAGACAGCAGAAGCATCCCAGCAGGCAGCACGTAGAGAAGGCCTGGGAGTGCCCAGACCCTGGAACAGACCCCAAGAGCTGCAGGGACTCGAAGAGTTCCGCTGTCCAGGAGAGCTTCCTTCCCAGGAGATGTCCAAAGGCTACTCCTTCCCAAACATACACCGCTCCAGGCCCCAGAGGGCCTTGTCCCTTCTGTCTCCTCCTGGAGACCACCAAGCCGGGGTCTGTCACTCACTTCAAAAGGAAAAAAATCATTGTCTCTAAACATCTGCTTCTTCTGTGCTTCATCCATTGGGAACATACCAAGGACCCTCCCCGCCAAAAAAGGACGGGAATATGGAAGCGCATGGTATAAGGATTTTATCTCAATAAAATTATTGGGGAGGGGGCCATTTGGAATTAATTAGGAAGCTGACACTGAACCAGTTTCAGCCTGGAGGGTCCCCCACAACTCTCAGACCGGCCTCTGCAAAGTCAGCACTTCACCATGCTGAAGGATTAGGTTACAGGATCTCCTTGGAGAGAGCAGACTAGATGCTACCTTCTGTCCCCTTCTCCCCAGTCCCTCCACACGTTTTTTTCAGGTTAAAACCAGACCTACATCATTACCAAAGAGTGGGACATAGAAAGGGTGGCGGGGGGGGGGGGGCTCAAACTAAGCAGCAATCAAAATCCCAGCTAAAATACCTGCCTGATGAGCCACTGCCTTCCAATGAAATGATTATCAGCATAAATAGGAAAAAATTAAAGCTCTCCAGCCATTCTAATATGCTTTCAGGGCTGAGACTCAGTCACACTGTGACCTAGAATTGAACCAGAAAAGATCACTTTGAACTTTAGGATCAAACCACCACCAACACCAACAACAGACAACTCACTGCAACTCATAGCGACCCTCTGGGAGGACACACAGCACTGGTGGTGTAGCGGACTACATATTGAGCTACTGACTAGACAGTCTGCAATGTGAAAACATCCATTTGCTCACAGGGAGAACAATGGGGCTTTCTATTCCCCTCAAGATTTACAGCCTCAGAAACCCAGGAGGCTATTCTATTATAGGGCACGAAGAGTTGGAATTGGCTTAATGAATTTAGGATCGTGAACTCTAAATTCAAGAGATTTGGGTTGTAATTCTGACTCTACCGCTTATCAGCTGTGTGACATTGGATAAAGTCCTTAAACCATTTTCTCAATTACAAATGGAACCAGCGTGGTGCTTGCTCATAGGGTGGTGGTGGTATGACTTAAAAGAAATAACATCTGTGAAGCATTTAATGTGATGCACAGCACACTCCAATATTCGCTATTGCTATTGGACACAATGGGCCTCTCCCCTGACCAGTGTGATCCAGCATTCTGCCACTTCTTTTAAACTTTCAGAGGGGCTGAGATCACTGTCATGCTTCAGAATTGCTGGTAGAGTGGTTAACATGCAGAGTCCCAGGTCTTACCCTAGGACCTTGATAACTGTTGGGTTTGCACCTGTGTCTATCTGTGTTCTCCACGAAGCCCCCCAGGAGCCGAGGTGGCTGAGTCAGGACTAAGTGGGAGCGTCTTCATGTGGCTGGCTTCTTAAGTCTATTACATGACATCCCCTTGTTTCTAATGACACCATTGGTTTAATCTTCAATGATGATGTCATTTTTCAAGCAGAAATGAAACAGAAAATACTGTCTATTCTACGTCTATGGTGTATGGTGTCAAGTGGCAATATGAAGCCAATCAATCATCTAAAACGCTACATGCCAAACTGCTCTTTATACTTCTCGTACCACTCCGTGGGCAGCGGGCACATGACAGCTACTACGAAGAGAAAGACATGAAGTGATAGGAGCCACCCCACTTCCACTGAGTCAGTTCTGACTCAGCAATCCCACAAAACAGAGAAGGACTACTCCTGAGGGGTTCTGAAAATGTAAATCTTTACAGGCGCAGACCGCCTCAGGGTTCTCCCACGGCATGGCGGGTGCACTTGAACTGCCTGTCCTTGCAGTTAGCAGCCCAATGCTTAATCCACTGCACCACCAGAACCCTTTGTATCTGACAGCACATGAAGAGGTCAAACGAAGCAGTGCGTTGAGTCGATCTGCTGCACAAGATCTCTTTAAAATGTTGAAGGGCAAGGGTCGCACTTTAAGGACTAGTCATGGTATTTTCCATCACCTGATAGACCTGTGAAAGTCGGACACTGAACAAGGCAAACTGGAGAAGAGTTGATGCACACACGGTGCTGGGGAGGAATACTGAATGTCCCATGGACTGCCCAAAGAACTAAGAAACCTGCCTTGGGAGAACAATAGCTCGAATGCTCCTTAGAGGTGAGGATGGGGGGCCAACTTCTCCTGTACTTTGGACGTGCTATCAGGAGAGATCCGTCCCAGGAAAAGGACATCGCGCTTGGCAAAGTAGAAGGGAAGTGAAAAAAAAGAAGACCCTTGACGATTTGGGTTGACACCGTGGTCACACCCAAGGGCCCAAACATAACAATTGGGAAGATGTCACAGGTCCCGCGGTTGCCATTCTGTTGTACAGAGTCACTGTGGATCAGCGCCGACGCCGTGGCTCTTAACAAGAAAGCAACATGAGGAACGTAATAGAGATCAACGTTTTGTCTTCAGTGGAAAAGTAAATCAGAGGATCTAGTTATTTACTGAAAGTGGAGACATCAAGGACCAGAGACAGGAGGTGACTCTATCAAGGTCCCTCAGGAAGCTGCCAGAGCCATCACAGACCTCCTGAGCCAGCTGCTCCCACTGAGCAGTGCTCCCCAGTTTGGGCCCTTCATCATAAGGCTCACCTTGGCTATTATTCGGCACAAGGGCGCCCCCTCCTGTGTCAGGCTGAAGAGGTTCACCGTGGTGGACTCGGTGGTGTAGAGATTGTCCGAAGCATCGATTTTCTTTACCAGGGCCTGAGAAGAAAGCAGACGCGCACTGGTTATTCACCCCTAGAAATTCCTGCTCCTCTTGCGATGAGAAATACCAGTGGGCCCATGTGCCCAATAGCCTCCTGGAATCTATAACCCTGCCCCAGCCCCAGCCCAACTGCAAGGTTCCACTGAGGTTCCCCACGTCTTTGGGAAAGATGTTAGTCAAGGCAGTCTGAGCAACCTTTCAGAGATACGGGACAATTTCAAAGCCCTTAGGCACAGCCAAGACATTCTTCTCTCCTGTCAATTAAAACAGAGAAATTGGTTCTTAGCATCGATGAGTTTAGCAAATGCCATTTTGTTGTGCTATTGACACCTAATGAAAACAGAAAATCACAGTTACCTAAACAATCCATCAGATGGAAAACTAATGAATCGCTACATATATAGCCAAAGACTGTTCTCATTTCGGATGGTTATTCGCCAATGGCGAATGCCAGTGGGGCTCATGGGTTCAAGGCCTTTGTCAAAGGCAGCACTCCACGGTAGCTTACTAACTGGTGGACATTTGGATGAGTTTTATAATCAAACCAAACCAGACTCTCTGCTATTGAGTCGACCTGTCCCTGCGGGTTTCCGACAGTAGTATCGCCCAGACCAAGCACCGTGATGGGAGAATCTGCGTCAGGATGGCTAACCACTCAGTGATACAGATGGCTGAGCAAGCGCATCTAAGGCGAAGGTGACTAAGAATAAGTGAGCACAGGGCTCTGGGAGGCCCAGGAGAACCAACGTCTGATTCATTACCAAATAAAATAGAACCACGATTCCTGGAAGAGTCTGGCTTATTGCTGGGGGAAAAAAATTCTCTTCACATATCTTAAAACCACTTCATAATCAGTCATCTTCTTTGGGATCTGTGATTCATTAGTTACAAATGGTTCCTACCTGCTAACTGATGTCAGTTGCTCCTCTTTGTCCTGAAAGCCCCAGAGACAGAGGTTGGGGGAAGCTGCCCCTGAGAGCAGCGTGTGGGAAAGCCAACCCCCCAGGCTGGGTGCTCGGGCAGCCAGCCCTGCAGCTTCATTTCCGTGTTTATGAAAAAGTATTAACATGTAATTTTAATTAACGCGGTGTTATGGGAAAGACACTAGGTTGGAAATCAGGAGATCTGAGTTCTAGCCTAGCTGAGGAGGTAAGGTTTCCGGTGAGATTCTTACAGTACAACCCTGCTACCCCTGAAGAATACACACATGCGTTGTTGGAATGGAAAGAAGTTCTTCACTGCTATTTCCCTGGCCTTTTCTCACCAATGCAGTCTTTGATTTTCACAAAGCTTCTTCATAAGAGTTACCAGTGTCCTTTGATAAAATCTGTCAAGATGATCTTTTTGAATTCTTAAAAAAAAAAAGGTGCATAATATGATGAGCTGACCTCTCTGCTGTGAAAGGTTCAGGAGCTCGATCGTTTTGGCAGTGACTGGTTTGATAGGGACTTTTTCAAAAGCCTCAAGGAGACTGAGACAAGCGTATTCTTGAGACTTGTCTACAGCCATCCACGGACCACAAGAAAGCGGGGTTTGTTTGAGATAAACGCGTGCATTCCTGGTGATGGTGTGGTGAGACACTGGGCTGCTCACTGCAAGACTGGTGATCCAAACCCCCGGCTGCTCTGCCTGTCCCCTTAAAGACTTCCTGCCCCAGGAGCCCTAGTCTATGGGCCACTCTGAGTCAAAATTCACTCAACGGCAGTCGGTTGGTTTTTATATATGGACTGGAACCATAGTTCCAATGCTTTTTATGTACTCGGGAAAGCTGATCCTCTACTTACAGGAGCCCAAGCTTGTATTTAATCAAGCTACGTGAAACATAAAAATATAAGAGTTGAGAGATGCCTCTTACAAGGCATTCAACAAAAGGTAAAATTATAACCAAGGTTTCTCCCTACAAATCTCCATAATGAACAGGCTTCTTAAAAATCCTTCCCCAGCAGTGCTGTAAGCAGATACTAATACTCACATGAAAATGCAGATTTCATATATTGGGGTCCTATACTTAAATGATAATTACCTAATGTTCCTGATTAGTGTTTGCACTCGAAGCAAATTAGCATGACATTAAACAATCCAAACCCAGTGTCTTCTGCAATCATCTGTTAATATTCAACCATTTATATCTGAGAACCATTTCACATTCATTTCTATACACACATGTACAGTAATTACACCTCAGTGATGTCGCAGTGCATCAGAGCCCTGACAAAGAAAAGTTGCGGGCACTCTTTCCACAAGCATGCACGTGAGAAGATATGAGACCAGAGCCTCCAGGGAAAGCTTCCAGGGCCGACAGAGCATAACATATCAGAGAGGAAAAGATCCTCTCATTTCACTCTTGAAGAAACTCAGGGGCAGAAACTTGGTCAAGATCGCATATTATACAAGGAATGCTCGTTTCAAAGATCTGTGACTCCATCTCCTTCCATGTCAACAGGACTTCACCTGGAGGAGTCAAGATGGAAACCTCAACCAGGGACCCTATCCAGCCACCTTATCATCTCTTTCCAAAGAGGAGCGTGATTCTCCACCCTGGCTTCCCATCACCATCTACAAATTCAATCCCATGGCAGCCAGAGTTCTTTCTGGTGCTTCTCTGGGCCCATCATGGGTGGGTTTTTTACCAAGCTTGCTTCCCCAAACCAAGCCCAGCTGTGAATGTGCACAGCAAGCTAATAATAGACAAGCCGTAGCTATGGGACAAGAGACGCCTCTAAAGGATGGTTCGGGTTTGAACACTTCCTGCCAGTCTGGCCATGGCACCTCTCTGAGAACCGTGCTTCCATCTGGGTCTCTCCCAAGTCCATTCTTCTTCCTTGCCCATGTCCTCTCTCTGAGGCCTGCTGTGTTCCTGCTCCCTGCCCTTGGCCTTCACAGATATTTGCTCCCTAATCTGACGAGGGGTCTTCTTCAAATGAACACTCAAAAACTCCCTGCCATTGAGTTGATTCCAACTCACAGCGGCCCTAATAGGACAGGATAGAACTGCATTTGTGGGTTTCCAAGACCGTACTTGTTTTCAGGAGTACAAAAGCATACTTTCTCCCATGGACCCACTGGTGGATTCGAATGGCCGACCTTGTGGTTAGCAGCCCAATGTGTAACCCTCTGTGCCACCAGGGCTCCTTAGATTAACGCAGTCTCTAAAAATCAAATTTGCTCAGAAAAACAAAGGGAAATTGGAAAGCTTTCCAAAATATGCTGTACTCTGTACCATGCGAAGCAAGAATGACTATATTATAAAGAAAGGCAAGTTGATTGGACTAAATGACAGAAATACTATCTCAAAAGGCTTGGCAGCTAGGCGAGGGAAGAAGATGAGAAGAAAGACATAAATCCAGAGAGACACGCGGTTTAAGCTCTCAAAATAATAAATTGGAGAAGCAGGAGCTATTTTTCATTGTTTCTCTATAGAAAGAGTGACGGTGGCCCACGGAAAGCTATCAGTTGAAGAGAGATCATTCTCTAAGAGCTCCTGCGAGGAGCTCCTCAGAAGAAGCAGGAGCTCTTAGGGAAATGTGACCGAGTTCCCGGTCAGATACAAAGCAGTCCAGCCACGTTCAGGGGACCTGTGAGATGTAGGCAGATCTGACAGGATGTGGTAGACGAAACACGGCTGCAGAGGCTTTGCTACTCTCCCGCAGAAAGACCAGTTCCGACCCTCTTCCCCTCCCATCCGGATCAGCCTGAGCGAGTTGCTTGACCAGCAGAAGCCAAACCTCGTGCTGTTCTAGGACTTGGTTCAAGGCTAGGTTTTAAGAAGCCTTGGAACTTCCAACACAGCCTCTCAGAACGCTTTTGGGTTCTCTGAGCTGCTGTGGAAGAAGTTTCAAAACCCCGAGACTGCCATGCTGGAGGCAGCACGTGGAGAAATACTGATAATACCCCAGCATCCAACTGTCCTCTCTAGGACACCACACACAGAAGCGCAGCCATCCAGGACTTTGAAACTCATCTTCTCTGTGAATGCCTCCGAGCAGCCTCTTTGATGCCAAATGAAGCAAAAGAACCAGTCCACCAAATCCCACCAAATTCTTGACCCTGAAAGTCAGGAGATATAATAGAAATGGTTTTCATTTGGGTGGTTGTTCAGTTCCTGAAACATGGGGGGAAACTAAAGAGGTCAGAAAGAAATATTTACATATTTAAATATTTAAAACTTTCCAGGTGAGAGTTTTCAGAAGTGAGAGAAGTGTCCTAAAGGAAGATAAATCATAAATTGGAACTCCAGAGGGAAACAGAGAAAGTTTGGCCATACTACAGAAGAGACAGACAAAGTAATATGAACCCTAACTTGGATTAGCTACTGGTCTGGTGGCAAATGTGTCCTGGATGAGAATATCTGATTTCCAAAGGTAGACATAGAGAAGATGTGCTGGAACCGGACGGAGACTTTATGCTGACCCAGAACTCAACCCATTCCATTCCTCTCAACAAGAGAAATCTTATAATTTAGTAAAGTTTGTTAGAAAAGTAAAAGAAATGCACCAGAAAGCAAAGAGAAGCTAACAGGGTAGGAGCGGGTACCACCTAGATCCAGCAAATAGCGTTGCACTGGCTTGATGAGTTAGAAGAGGAGAGAGGCCCACATGAGAAGTGGGTTAAACCGGTGGAAATCGAGTTGAATTTCCATACGTAAGGAACTGACAAGAGTGGGGAGAACATTAGAAGTACAGTGCTCTACTTGGAGGTGGGGTAAGGAAGAGGAGGGAGAGGATGTGGAAAAGGAGGGTGCAGCAGAAATAAAAGCTACTCGGGACTGGAATATTCGAAACAAGGTGGAAAGACAGTGTTGTTGGAAGCACTTGGCAGAAGGACTGGTGCTCACGGGCCCCGGAAGAGCCAGGCATCGGGAGCATCATGGCAGTTTGGGTTCAAACATCTGCTAAGGGTGATTCTTCAAATGCAGAGACTGTGGACACGAGGGGGAAATCTGCTGCAGAAGACAGACCCTAGGAGTTCTCTTTCTAGCGCCGGAGACAGCATCCAT